TTTCTTTTTATTTAACTGTATATCCTAGAGGTATCTCCATATGAGCACACGGAGATCTCCTTGCTTTTTGATTTTGTTTGTTTCTTTCTTTCTTTGTTTTTGTAGTCATAGAATATTATGTGCAGGTACCAGTACTCATGCAACTAATCCTCTGGCCATTTGTGTTTTCAAATGTTCTCTATGACTGCCATGTGGAGGATGGGTTAACAAAAAAGAGAAGAGGAGGTAGAAAGTTCAGTCTGGAGGTTATTGCAGAAGTCCAGGCAAGAGGTGATTGTCACATGGACTAGGATGAAGGTAATGAAGTCAGGGAGAAGTAAGCTGTCCAGTTGGCACGTGTTTTGGAGCTAGAGCCAGAAATACTAAGCTAATGGATAGGTCGTCATATATGATAGTAATGGGAATTAAGGATAATCCCTACTATTCTGTTATTTTTTTATTTGAGCCAAAATAGTGTACAAAGAATTGAGGCTCCTTGGACTCTAGCTCCTCTTACAGAAAATGGAAAAAAAATCTGTGATCAGTCTCTTTAACTATTTTAGATAGGGTGGTCAGGAAAACTCTCTTTGAGGAGATGCAAATTGGTAGAGACCTAAATAAAGTGAGGGACCAAGCTCCATGAATACATGGGGACAGAGGCTTCTAGGCAGAGGGAGTAGTCCCCTCCAAAATCTCTGGGGCAGGACAAGCTTGAAACTTTCTGGCACGGCAGGAAGGCCGCTGGGACTAGAGCACAGGAAGTGAGGTGGAGGGAGGCAGGAAAGGAGATTGGGAAATCAGAAAGACCAAGAATATTTTGGTTTTATAGGCAGTGGTAAGGTAATTCATATTTTATCTTGAGAGTGATGGAAATCTACTGGAGAGTTTTCAGATGGGAAATGACGTGCTATGTTGTTAACCTATCTCTCTGGATGCCATGTAGAAAAAAGACTAGAGTGGAAGAGAGAGAGGGGGAGATGGGACCATTAGGAGGTTGTTGCAGTGGGGTGGGGAGAGGCGATGGTGGGTATTAGCTGGGGAGTGAGTGAGAGGGAGTCAGATTCACTTACCCAAGCTGAACCGTATGTCCGTGTACCACTCATCAGGGTATTCCGCACAGTAAATCAGATAGTAGCCTTGAAGGAATCCATTTCCCGTGCAGAAGACAAAGCCTCTGAAAATGAATACAAGTGGAAAAGGCCTCCCTCTGTTGAGCAATGAGTAAACAAATGTCCTGGGATATATGGGGGGAAAGATTAGGATCCATTGTCAAAAAAGAGAAATGTCCAACAATGAGAGGAAAAGGTTTCAAACAGATAACCATATCAAACCTATTTTTTAAAAACCATTTTCTCTTACATTTGTGGAATGAAAGAACATTACTATCTGGTTTTAGAGAAACCATTTATGCTATAATTTGTTTTGTTTCATTAAAATCCATACTAGCCACCATTTAGTACCTTATTTTATTCTCACAATGGCCTTGAAAGGTAAAGATTATCCCCATCCAGTAGTTAATAAAATAAATTTTATGAGCCCAGGATTGGAGATCAGCTTTCTATAAATCTGTAAGTGAAATATGCTTTATATTGGGAAAAAAGTAAAGGCTGGTTTACCCCAAACAGAGGAATGGCATTTTGATAGCAGCCACTTGATTACACAGCTTTTCACAATGTCTCTCCGATATGATTAGCTACTAGTATTATAGAAGTCCCTGGAAAGTGGACTGAAAAAATCCCTTGAGAAAAGAGAGGGAGACCCCTCTAAATGTTAAGAATTATGAATCTAGAGGAATGCAGGATGAAGAGCTTAAAAAATATAAATAGCCTCAAAATAAAAATTTACCCAAGATATAATGCTAAATACTAGACCACAAACTACATCCTCTGTATAATTTTTCTTCTCTTATGATGTAATGTAACAGTCATACAGGAAAGTTCACAAACCTATGTAAATAGTTTAATGAATAAGTATAAAATAATCACCCACATAGCCAGTAACTAAGTCAAGAAATAGAACATTGCCATTACCCAGAAGCCTCTCCTGTCTCCCTCCCTGTTCACAGTATCACCATCAGCCCAGACCCCAGGGGTAACCATTATCTCGATTTTTGTAATAATTATTTTCTTTTGTTTTTTTATAATTTTGTCACATTTTGCTGCATCCCTAAAACTATAGTTTATTTTGCTCATTTTTAATTATGTATGAATGGAATCATACCTTCTGATTCTTAGAGTATTCTTTAACATCTTATTTCTTTAACTCATTTGTTTGTGAGACCCAAGCATGTTGTTGTGTACAGATATAGTTCACTTACTTTCATTATTTTATGTTATTTTCATGTATTAATATACCCCATCTATTTATCTATCTTTATCTTACTTTAATGGATATTTGGATTGTTTCCAGAACAGTTGTATGTGCTCTCAGGTTATTTTGTTATAGCTCCCAATTTTCCTGTTATTTTGATGATTTTTTTTTTCTGTTTAAACCTTTGGTATTCATACAACTGATCCTCTGGTCATTTGTGTTTTCAAATGTTCTCTATGACTGCCGTGTGGATAATGGGTTAACAAAAAAGAAAAGTGGAGGTAGAAAGTTCAGTGTGGAGGTTATTGCAGAAGTCCAGGCAAGAGGTGATTGTCACATGGACTGGGATGAAAGTAATGAAGTTAGGGAGAAGTGAGCTGTCCAGTTGGCACGTGTTTTGGAGCTAGAGCCAGAAACACTAAGCTAATGGATAGGTTGTGATAT